TGCCTTAAGATTTAGGCCAAAACCCATTTTTCCAGATCTCATATGCTGCCAAATACTGTCATGATCGAAGTGTCCGTAGGGACCCAAAGCTGACAACATCCTCCAGCACGAAGGCACGAGTGTCAAACTCCCCAGCTTTGCTCCTCCCAAGGGATGCAGTGGGGGGAGGCTGTTTTCAGCCCAGCTGCACATGCCCACCCCCGACTGATCCAGGATGTTCTTTACTCACCCCAAGCCCACAACACCCAGGGCCTGGGCATTACGCCGTATACATGATGATGCATAAATAAATGCCCTGTGATGACTGCACCGTAAGAACAGGGCACAGGCTGCTTGTCCCTGGCTTTTGTCCAAGGGAAAGGCAGACCTCGTTTCCCCACACTGCAGCTCACGGCACCCCACCAGCGGGTCTGGAGGAGCACGCACATGTGCCAGCCGAGCACGGCAACCCACACAGCACCCTTGAGCAAACAAGCAATAAACAGCCCAGCCACACAGCAGCCCAAAGGTGAAGGGTAAGAGGCACCCATTTCCCCAGGCTGTGCTATGATGAGCACTGCAACGCTAGGGGAGACAGAAGTTTCAGGAGTGCCAAGGGCCTGGCCGAGCTGCACCACCCCCGAGCTCCCAGGCAGGAGGCTGGGGCACTGGGGGCTGTGTTGGGGGAACTGGGAGCAGCCCAACGTCCTGGACAGGAGGGGCAAGGATGGAGAGCGCTAGTGAAAACATGCTGGACACCTCTGCCCAGGGGAGCTGGCATGTCCCAAGCACTCCCAGCTTCCTACTGGGAACAAGCATTTCTAACCAGAAAGTGCAGATCACCTGTGGCCAAAAAACCTTGGAGAAAAGCTGCCATGCCTGGAAAGAGCAGAGGGAAGGGGCTCTTGGGGAGGGGGGGGGGGGCAAACCCAGCTCTGTCCTCGGCCTGACTCTTGAGCTGGGGTTTGCAGCCAGCTGCTGCGGGTCCAGCAGCAGTGAGCTGGGATTGAGGCAACAGATGCAAATATGAGGAAGTGGGAATTGCTCCATCTCCCACTCCCCTGTCTGAGTGGATCCATTTCCTCTATTTTTGCAGAGAAATAGCCCAGTCCTCCAAAACAACACAGTATCTCCAACCACAGCTTCCCTTCTAAGCTAAATAATCAGAGAAGTGGCACAGGGTCCTAGTGCTCACTGGAACCCGCTTTCAGGTGGGTGCAAAGCTGCAGCCCCTGCACCGCGGCAGGGGTGGCTCCCTCCGCCCCAGGGAAGTGCTCTTGGCCCTGAAGGTGAAGCGCACAGGGAACCAGCCTGGGGCTCGGTGCCTTTGGGAAGTCCCGTTGAAGACGGGACCCTTGCTGCAAGACACAGCTCACATGGGCTGCAAAACTAAGCTGAAGTGCTGCCTCCTGTCCCAAGGCAGTGCCCCCACCGCTCCCCTCGCCACTCTGGCCTGGTTGCTTGCTCAAAGCATCCTGTGGAGTGACTGTGAGAGATTCTCCTCTCACTTATGTGCCTCACTAAACCCTGTGTTGCTGCTTGTCTGCTGCTCAGCATTTTCTTATCTGTGCCCCACAAAGGAAAAAGCAGCAGTCATCTCTGGGGTAATTGGTGTTTTGCTTCTTTAAGGCATCCGAGCCTGCTGTCTCCATCCAGGTTATACCAACTTATCTCTCATCCTCACTTGCTCTTCACTAATGGCTCTTGCAACTTTCTCTCTAAGAATTACATCCTGCTATTCTCCAAATCCACCGTAATCTCCTCTCTTTCCTGTCCACTCATAAGAACAAGAATCCCTTGTGGTCCCTCATCTTCTTTCCTGCATGGAACAAGGAGCCAAGCCCCAGACTACACATGTAAGCACCCACAGACTCTGCACATGACGTTACAGCCCCAGGTGCACTGGGGCTCCCATGATTTCTTGCAAGCAGCCAGTAACCCACCACAGCCAGCCCCGCTGCCGTCTCTGCTCACCACCAACCACCGCTGCGGCATTAGGAGAGCTCCAGGTGCTATTTTGGTTGAGGGAAGAAGTGTGCTTGGGCCTTGCACATAGGAAAATGCAGATATACAGGAACAGCAGAAAGAAAATAACCCTCTGAAAAAAAAGAAGGAAAAAGAATAAAATCACAAGTCATCAAGAACCAAGATGGCTTTTCACACTGGATGTGGCCCTGTAAGTGCTAGTGCTACAGCAGCAAAAATATCTGGCAACAAAGAGTTTACTGATTCCCTAATTACAGATAGCAGGAGCTGAACTGCAGCAGGAAGCAGAGACCAGACATTACAGCAGGCATTACAGGAATAGCCCCTCTGAAGAACACTACACCCCCTTCAAGAGATCCAGTTTTATAGCATTTCATTGAAAATAAATTACATTTCCAGCAAACATGTGAAGGCCCTTCAGTCTGACAGAATAGACTGTGATTTTAGTAGGGCTGTCTAGGTTAATTCACTTGAGGGTGAACACAAAACCAACACCATCCCACAGGATATTTAATGCAATCTGCTTTTAAGCATGAATTGCACAACAAGGAACTAATTATTTTCAGATATCATATTCCCCCCTCCGGTTACTCCAGTTACATCTCGGTATAAGCATGACCAGTTCAAAATACCGTGGAAGACACACGCCCCATCCTGGTTCTGACCCACGTGTACACCCCATGCACAGTCCCTCAAACACTGCCCAGCCTTTCCGTGCATCCCGTGCCCAGAAGAGAGAGCTCCCGCACCTAGCGAATGGGTGGGAATTGCCTAACAAGAAGGTGAAGAAGGCACCAGGCTTGAAACACTTCTGCTGATCACAGCCTGCTTCCGCACATCCAGCCCACATCCCAACTTCTCTCCATGTTCCCATGTCTATTCTTGAATCCCTCCCTTTCTCTAACCCTCATCTCCTCCCCAAATAACCCTCCTCTAATTACTTTTTCCCCATTGGTCCCAGATTTGCTACAGCTCTAGCTGGATTTGGTGTTTCTGATACCTCTCACTGGGTCACCTCCTCCTCTACAGGTTCCACCCCAGGTGGTCCCCACGTTGGTCCTCAGTCACTTGCGAAGCTCAGCCGTTTCCCCGAGTGCTCTTTGTAGCAGTCCAGCAGCTGCCTGTTACCTGCTCCTTCCAGCCATCTCTCATGTCATGTCTACTCCTTTCTCCTGGTCTGTTCAGTGACCCGAACTGCAGGCCAGGGCCTGACCATCTGCCCACATACCCTAACAGAGAGGTTCCACATTTAATGGAGATAAGCAGATTGTGTGATCATTATGACATAAATATTTAGGTTTTTAAAATTACCTAAAAACTTCATTGTTATTTAGCCAGGTCAGTCCTTAAAGAACATCACTAAAATACAGAAACATTAGAAAATAGATTCCCTTCACATCCATTCACCAGTACCTGAGAGTATTTTTTTTTTTTGACTAAAGAAAAAACTTAACCTTCAATTATTTCGGAACTAAAAAAAAAAAAACAAAAATTACTAATTTCTTGCAGTCAGAATTCCTAGGAATGCCACAGTGGTCAATTGATTTTTACAAGGTACACTACAAAGATCAAGTCTCTTGGAAGGGTTTTTCACAGTCAGGGACATGAGTTTTAGAAGTGGCAGTGGAAACCGTGCAAGACAAAGATCTCCACCAAGACAAGCACAGCATCAAACACCCCAGAACCTACAGAAGGCTGAAGGCACTGCTCAAAGAGCTGCAGGAGATTTTCCATGTATGTTCTCTTGGTGAAACATCACCTGATCATAGCAAATGTCAAGATCGCCAAGTGTTACACAGGCTGCCTTGTACTCAGGCATTGTGCAAGAAGTGTATGCATCTGGCTACGCCTGCTTCCCGTTAAAATGTGCTTGGTGCTTCTCCAGGCTGGATCACACCACACAAGTGCTCATTGCATGCTCAGGGGTCAGCTCATACTGGAGCAACCACAGCTCTGCGTGCAGACTATGTATGGTTAAAACTGCTGTTCATTCTTTTGGCTAATTATAAAAGTTAGCCAAAAGTTTAAAAGAACAGGAAGAAAAAAACCAAACAGAAGTCCCAGTGTGGCTGTCAGAAGTACCACTTCTGTTCTTCAGAATGGTATTTTCTTCCACACTGGTGGACGAAGCAGGATTGTCCCTAGCTCCTGTGTTGTGACCATCAACACCATCAAGTCTTTGGAGTCACACACACAGCAGCTGTAAAAACAAATCTGAAAAAGCTGAAATCAACACAAAGCAAAAAGCCTCAGAGGCTGATTACAGTGAAGTAATCAACATGCAAAACAGCAATCCTCAGAGCCCTTCTGAGGAAGGTGTTGGTGTGAGTCTCTCAAAAACACCAGAAGCTGGAAGTCAAAATATAACTCCTTCACTGAGTAAGGGTTTAAGAAAAAGCCAGCTGCAAAGCCCACAAAAGCAGCCAATCATCGGAGCTACACAATGGTGGGGCTGAATGAACAACAAGGAAATGAACTTAAGAGAAGGCACCTCCTTCCCCTGATAAGCCCATGAGGGAAAAAAACCAACCAGTTCTTGAACACAGCCCCAGTGAAGACAAGAAAAGCAGCATCCCATTCCTTTTGAGGAAAGCTGGTCCACAAGAAGCAAGGCCAGCCATACACCAGAAGCAAGCCTACGTGGGGCTTGAAAGATCATCCAAGACATACAAATAGACAACAGACAAAATTTCTCCTAAGATGTGAATAAACAGACTAAGGTACATTTTAGGAAAAAGACATTTAACCTACTTCCATCCTGTTGGCGAAACTGAAAGTCGTTTTCTGAAGAAGACAGAGCACAACTGATCTCTCTCAGCGACCAGATGTTAAGTTTAGCCATGAGTGACATCATCCAGTAGCTTTATAAAAGAACTGAAAGGTCCTTCCAAATGCCCTGCGCTGGGGCGGCTGCCTGTGACATCACACAGCGGCCAGCGCCCCAGGCAGCCACCATGGTGCATGGGCTTGCCACCTGCCACCATGCATGATGCACACCAGCGCCAACTCGTGCAGCTCCCCCCAGCTCTCCCACCATGGATGATAGTGTGGTGCTTGGAAAGAAAGGCTACAGCCTGAGCAACACGCTAGGAGAAGGCTCTTACGGTAAAGTGAAATCTGCCTACTCCGACCGACTGAAATGCAACGTAGCTGTCAAGATAATTGACAAAAGGAAAACTCCTCGGGACTTCCTGGAAAGATTTCTCCCCAGGGAAATACAGGCTTTGAGACGTTTGCACCACCCCTCAATCATCAAAACCCATGAGATTTTTGAGACATCAGCTGGGAAAGTGTACATCGTGATGGAGCTGGGGGAAAAGGGAGACCTCCTGGACTACATCAAGATCACGGGAGCTATGAAAGAAGACATCGCTCACATCAAGTTTCAGCAGTTGGCTTCTGCCATCAAGTATTGCCACGACTCAGACTTTGCTCACAGGGACCTGAAATGTGAAAACATCCTTCTTGATGAAGACCTCAACATCAAGCTGTCAGACTTTGGGTTTTCCAAATCCTTGTCTCGGGATAAAAATGGAAGAACTATTCTCAGCCAAACCTTCTGTGGGTCTGCTGCGTACACAGCCCCTGAAGTGCTAGAGGGCATTCCTTATGACCCCAGGATTTCTGACATATGGAGCTTGGGTGTCATCCTGTACACAATTGTCTACGCTTTAATGCCATTCGATGATTCCAATGTCAGGAAAATGATCTCTATTCAGAAACAACGCAAGATTCCCTTCCCCAACTCAAATACACCTGACTGCAGAGTGCAAGGACCTCATTTACCACTTGCTCCAGCCTAATGCATCTCAGAGGTGGTGCATAGATGAAGTCTTAAAACACTCATGGTTGCAGACTCCAAAATCCACAATCCCTTCCCCTCTGCCAGCTGCAGAAGAGGATGAGCATTCCCAAAACCTATGTGAAAGAAAGTCTGAGGACAAGCAGCAAGCCACATCCCATTCTGCAGAAAGGGAAGGAAAGGGAGAAGGAAACAGGATCCTCCTAAGGATGGCTGGGTTTAACAGTATCACAGAGATGGTCTAACTTGTGAACTGCTGGTTCTCAACCTCTGGACCCTTTCAGCAATTAGTCCTCATCTTTTGCTTTACAAAGTATAGCTCAAACCACAACACAACAGAAGACACAGTACATCTGCTGAGATGAATGAACAGCTTAACACTATTATTCTCAAAAGACCCATCTCTAATAAGGTTTGCAGGGATAAGAAGTTACTGTCAAGACATATCGGATGGAAAGTTTCTCTCAGTGATGCTGACACTTAACAGCTTACACTCACATTTCTTAAGTTCCTGACTACACCGGGTGCAGAATTCACACCTGCAACCACCACATTTTGGATTCAGTTAGAGGGCAGGTTATGAGGAAGTATGAACCGATGTCTGAAATTGTGCCTACTGTTTTGTATGCAACTCTCTAGACAGGCCCACTGTATGTTTAAGAGCATCAGTTTGAACACCACTTAAATTAAAGAGAAGCCCTCCAAAATTCTGGGTCATGTCTCAATGTATACATGGTTGTATCCTCTGTTCTGCAAAGTACAACCAAAGAAGTTTGACAAGCTGGAAGAAAGTCCACTTTAATCTTCTAGAAAGGCTTACCACATTTTATAAATAGACATATCTGTACAGAAACATATTTAAATGCACGGCCATCTTAAAAAGAGAAATTATCGCTGTTTTCCGAGAGTCCCAAATCTTCCCTGCCATCGCAGGAAGCATCTTTTTGCTACAGCAGACCTGTGCAGCCCACCCATGCAGTTCAAAGGGAAGTTATACCACAGCAGGAGGTACTCTGCTTCCAAAAAACACATCACAGACTATTTTAGCTATATAGTCTAGAGTAACGCTGGTCCCAGATCTTGTTAACTGCTGTCTTCCATTCTGGCAGCTGCATCTAGACACCCCTTACTACCAATGGCTCACAACATCCAGTTTGCAGACAGCTGAGCACAGCCAGTTCACTATTGCCTTGCTGGTGGCTGGAATATTCAGAAGAAATTAGATGCTTTCCTTCTTTTAGGAAGCTGCAGTAAATTGTCTGTGATCGATGTAGTATCTTGAGATACTGGTGTCTGAGACACTGTCCTAGATTGTGGGGTGCTTGTGGGTGTATGAGGCCCATTTGCTGGGGTCTTGTAACCAGGAGTTCCTGTATGCGCTGGGGAAGGAGTATAGCTGGCTCGCAGGGCTTTGTCGGTGTATTTACTTGCAGTCCTGTTTACTAGTCTTTGCAAAGCTGGTGACATTGCTGGGCTTAGTCCTTTCGGAGTAAGGCTGGAATAGAATAAACAGTTTTAAAAGATTTTACAGTAAAAATCTGCCATTTATCAGGAAGAGCATCAACGATTTCACAGGCAAGCTCAGTGTCCTCTTCCCCCACAGACCAGACCCACTGGCTGCAGAAGTTTTTCTGTCTGCATGTAAATGCAGCCCGTCTCTCTAGAGCAACAAGTGACAGACAAACCTCCTACATTCCTCCCAAACCTGAGCAGCACTGCCTGCCTTTTCCTTTGAGCCTGTTCCATCCTTCCCATGACCCAGCCAAGCAAGCCTTATCACGTCTCCTCTTTGCAAAGGGGCAAGACACCAATCCAGGTGCGTTGCTGGGTGGCTGTAGGGCAGAACAGTAATGTTGACAAGAGGGAGTATCAGGGACAGCCACCAGCCACCTTCCCTCAGGAACTGAGTTTTTTAATTTCTAAAAACTTCTGGTTTGACTGCACCTCTTTCCATTTCTACTACTCTTATTATTCCTCCCTTTCTACACATGTTGATTTAAATCTCATCTGAAAATACCCATCCCCAGTTCTGCTATCAGAACAGAAGTCTCACCTGGCCAAGTTTTCTGTCACTTTTCGAAGTGCCTCCTGCTTCTTTGCTCGGTTTTTAGCTGCCACTTCATTGGCCATCTTGAGTCCTAGCCTCTCACGGCGCCCAGGCTCCAGGATCTAGAATGCATCACACAGTTCACTTGCCAAGCAGTTATATGAGTGCTGCATAAATGAGTCAAAGCACCTTCACAGTTGGATTCCAGTCTACAGGGATCTAAACCAGGGAGTAGTGTGGTCAGCCCGCAACTCTCTGCTGCTATACAAAAGTCAGAGAGGACACAGAGACCTTCAACCTACCTTAGCAAGTCACAAAAACTGTAAAACCAGTTCAGTCAAGGAAGCAGCCATTACCTCTGGCATTTCCTCCTGCTGTCTCCTAGACAAACAATGTCACCTGTGTCTTGCCTACCCTGGCCTGTAGTCAGCCAGCTCTCAGGCAAACACAGACATTGCTAAACAGCAGGAGAACCAGTCAAGGGCTTTGGAGTCTGACAGAACAGAGGCACATACAGCAAATTACATCTTTCTTTAGCTTAGAGTTTAAGGCAGCTCACATTCAGTGACACCAGCAGGAGACAGGTGGCATGCAAGGTCAGGTGCCATTAGCAAAGCCTGCGTTTCTACTCTCAAGTGATATGCCTGCCTCAGGCTGTGACAGTCAGAACATCAAGACAGAGGGAAATCCTATGATTTCTATCCATTCATACTTTAAAATCAGAGAAATCGGGCATCTCTTCAGCTTCCTCTGAAAGTCCTTCTGTCTGGGCCCATCATCAAATACTGAATCTCACTCTCCTGCCAACAGTGTGTGTTCCACCTCAGGTATCTCCACCAAGTAGCTTTCATGTGGAGCCACGGCCACCTCCACCCTCCAAGCTGAGCCTAGATTATTAGTCTTAAGGACTGGGAACACAGCCCAGAGATGTGTCACACTCCCACAACAATGTTAATCTGTTAGTTACTCACTTGCCTTTCCCTTCTTAGTTCTTCCCCCCAAAAAAGAGACATGCTGATTCCTGACATGAAATACCTTGAAGGCTGGTCCAGGTGTTCTGTCCACATATGGTGTTTCTGACCCTTCCAGGCGCAAAGGGGTGCTTTCGATTTCACCCCATGTCATAAAAGGAGACTCATTCACACCTAAAACCAAATTTAAAATCATGCTCATACAAGACATTTTGACTATTTGTTCACCACAAAAAATCCAGAGAAATAAATTAAGAAATGCAGCAAATACACCAGCACACAAAGGAGCCCCTCCACTACAGAGGAAATCACAGCCAATGCTGAATAGTAACATGTGCTTCCCATTAAGAGGGCATGACCTTATACTCACAGGACTGACTGTGGCTGTGTCACCCTCTAGGTTACAACACTCAAACACTGTCCTTTCCATGTGTTTATTTTTCCATTTGGCAAGCTTTTGCTTAGTGACACTTTCATTTTTTTCCTCTATGGTACTAGTCTTCCCCTCTGCTATTATATGAAAACTCCTTCAACATGGGGAACTTTTAAAAGCACAGAAACAGGCAGAGGACTTAAGATACATGTAATAGCCAAATGTACCCTCAAATTCATCTTGAGGCTAGCCTGTACTAAATAGTGACTGCATCTTGTCTAATAGAATCTATTCTGTAGTTGAAGCTAAGAGCCTGATTAAGTCACCAGGGCATGGAAAAGACATTTAGAATGGAGAAAGGAGGTGTGCTGCAAATGCCACCTACAGGCTTTCTGGAGGAAAAGTCTCAGCATGTTCACCTTTTAGCATAATAACAAAAGACAGGGAAACATAATGGCTGGTGAAGAACAGCTGAAAATTCAAATAACACATTTCAACTTGAAGAAAAATAATCAGTTTGTTTTACCTGAAAGTATCCTGCAGCTAATATATCTGAACGAAAGTAATCTATAATATACAAGTGTATTCAAAGGGAGAACCTAGAAAGCAATAGAACTGGAGGAAAACAGTAGGGTAGGCTAGACTGAAGGAAGTGAGATATGCTACATCCCTATGAGCCAGGCTGAACCACCACTCAAACCACTGCTCTTCATTTTCAAACATGAACACCTGAACTCGTTGGAAAGTTAATGCTTGTGAAATGTTTGAATTCTTATCTTTAAGCTCTAGAGAAGCATCACCTAGGGATAAAACAAGCAGCCACATCACCCCAGTTGCCTAGGAAGGCTCACCACCCTCTAGATGATTCCTAAGCAATGGCACAGCAGCTTGCTCAGGGCCTCTTGTGTACAGCATGACTCCTTTTGCCAGTGTATTGGACCAGGATTTAAACACTGAATCAAGGTGACATACATGATATGCAAAGTCACCAGATCATGAGATATATACGGATAGAAGGCTTATCTCCTTGTCTAAAACCAACACTGATATCCCAGTGTTGAACAAACAGCATCAAAATAAGTGCAGTAGCAGTCCTCTAACATCAGAAATAAGAAAACCCTCTTACCAGGGGCAGGAGATGGGGTAGCCACAAATCCATATCCATTCACTTTTGGAGACTCTTGGGGTATCAGTTCTTTCCCATCTGGTCCCACTTTGCCCTGTTTGTACTGAAATAAAAAAGACAATGACATTCATGTGGAGAAAGGTATGAGTCAGATGTATTTAACACACACAGTTCTCCTGGTTGATGAACTACACCAGAGAGCAGAGTCTAACAAGGTTTTAGTCAGAAGAAGTAAGATTATCCAACCTGAGCATTGAGGGCTGCAGCTTGTTGAAGCTGTGATTTGCTCACGGCTTGGCTAAAAGGGTCCTTCACAAAACGGGTGTTTCGATGGACAACTTCTCTGGGCTTCTTAAATACTTCATCCTCATCAGATACACCTTGAAAAGCAAAATATCTTTTAAGAAAGGGCTCAGATAACACTAGGCAGCAGCATGCTCTAGCGCTCCTGACCAACACAACACTTATCACACATTCCTAACACAACACAGAACCCATCAGCAATTGCAGTGTGTATCTCTAGCCATTAATTTAAAACAAAATTTGCACTAGATATATGTTTTGTAACAGCTGAAATTTATAAATTAAGATCAGATTTGGTTGGGTTTTTTAAGAAAACAGTCAACAAGACTTACTCTCTTTTCTCTACTTCACTGGTTTGCAGAAATTACCAGTTGTACATTTATAGACAAAAAGAAAACTGTGT